AAACCAGTTCCTGATTGGTGTAGCATGAAAAGAACAACCAGAATCCATAATCCATCCGCCAAACGACGAATCATCAGTGACAGATAAGACATAATCAGCATCATCCGAATTACCATCAACTATAGCTGCAACATCATCCGTACGATCAACTCTAATTCCTTTACCCTTATCGTTTTTCAGCTTAAGGCAATCCCTTCTAAAATGCCCTCTCTTGCCACAACTCCAACAGACAACACCACCAGTCCTAGACTGACTTCGTCTATTCGAGTTCATACTACTTCTGCTAACACGTGTACCAGTTCTTGCTCTATTTTCACCTACTAAAGCAGCAAATACATGTTCGCCAGATTCTCTTCTACGGATGTCTTCACTTAGAATTAAATCTCAAACACCATCAAACGTCAAACTTTTTGACCCAGAGGAATTACTAACAGCAGTAACATTAGTATTCCAACTATCAGGCAATGAGGATAATAGAATCAAAGCACGTACCTCATCTTCAAAGTCAATGTCAACTGAACTCAATTGACTAACGATCACATTGAATTCATTAATATGATCAGCAACTGATGCACCTTCGCTCATCTTCAAATTAAACATACGTCGCATCAAATAGACCTTGTTGATCGCAGAGGGCTTCTCGTACATGTCCGATAGGGCTTTCATCAAACCCGCAGTGGTCTTCTCATTTATAATGTTAAACGCGACGTTACATGTCAACGTCAGCCGAATAACACCCAAAGCTCGTCTATCCAGCAATTCCCAATCAGCTTGCTTCATTGTCTCTGGCTTCTCCCCAGACAAGGGCAAGTGCAGTTTCATCTGATATAGATTATCCTCAATCTGCATCTTCCAGAAACCAAAATCTTTCCCATCAAATCTATCGATTTTCACTTTTCCTTCTTCTATCGCCATCGATTCGCTTCAACTTAGCCAAGCCAGGCTCTCATACCAATTGTTGCGGAAGCCAAGCGATCGAACAATAAAATTGATAGAATAAGAAAATAAATCGGACACCAGATTTACGTGGTTCGGTCGTAGTGACCTACGTCCACGGGGAGAGCAGCACGGAATTCCACTATAGATCAAGCGATACAACGGAGATTACAACCACACTCGAGTCACTCAAACACTCTCAGTGTTCCCCAAGTCCTAATTATACCCAATAACTCACACAGTGTTTAGCCCCATAATTCCTCACGAAATAATCTCTCAATCTGGCAAAAGAATTGTACACTAATCTTAATACAAGATTTAATTGCTACGAACACTTGAGCTCTTGGTGTAATTCCACGAACAAAATCCCAGTGAGATAAACCCACGCCAAGCACTCGACGTCAACCGCAGCGCTTCAAGACTTCTCTGCACTCAAAGCATCCCTTGACCATGAACATATATATCAGGAAGTCCCATATTGGTCAACAAACGAAGTCCACGCGGATTAGGATCAGGAAACAAATCCAGCCATGCTTTTCTTTTCTTTTCCTTTTATTTTATTTCTTCTTTCCACTTCGGGCCGTGAATTCCACAAGAATTAGGAAAGTATAATATTCTTTCTTTCTTCTAACACATTGACCGAATCAAAGTTCAACATAAAATTCATGTGGACTTTCCAGTTTGAGAACAAAGACTCCAACGTGCATTAGGAAAGTGAATTTCAAATATTTCCTTTTTGCTCGGTTTCGGAGATCCGCAAAATATCCAATTCGGAATATTTAGATTTCGCTTTGGGCTCAAACTCGAGACATATTTTCAACAGTTATTGTCTTGAAGGAGGTGGCAATAGAACACTCCTTGCTCGAGGACGAAGAATGGAGAAAAGGACAAAAAGAGAAGAAGGAAGGAAAATGATGAATAAGAAAAGTTAGGAAAACAATCTCATCAAAGTTAGCTAAAAATTTAAGATGTAACTTAACCTCTTAATTGTAGAGGATTCCAATCCACTAAAAATTCAATATTGATGATGTCACTGTTGGTAAAATAATGGGGTCGGAATCACATAAAATATCTATACATCAGTAAAACTATAGCAGATTGAGTGAGGCCAATTGAGCCCATGCAGGGCATATCGGTTGGCATCTGAGTGACGACTTTGTAAGTGGTATTACAAAGGCCGATAGGCCAGAATTAGTTGGCATTTTCAAGCCCCAAACATTTCAGTAATAAGGAGAAACTTGCAAGTGATTTGAAAGAGACCAACAATGGGCTCTTCCTATCCATTCCCCATTTTCACGAGTCTAAGAATGGTATTTTCTCAGCGGGGGTAAAAAAAGAGAGAAGCAAAGTTTGGTTGGCGAAAATCCTTGTTTAGGGTTCTTCTCTCTTGTTGAAATATCCCACATTGCTTAACTACGAGGTTTATATATTCTTTATATATATATGTGATCTCCTTCCATATATCAACTTGGGATATCAGCGATATCCACATTGCCCTGGATATGAATCGCCAAATGAATATTTCAATAGTTTGATTCGCTTAGCCCATAAAAGGGTTAGGTGGGCTACCTTTCAATTATTATTCATGGACGGACGCGAATCTTGCAATATAGTATTCGAAGTTGACATGGTACCTATACTTATATGTATACGAGGTATAAGAAAGTTTTTTGGGAAAATTACCCAATCAGTCCTAAACTTATTATGCGAAGGTCAATTTAGTCCTAAACCTTTGCGTGAAACTCTAGTATAGTCATTCCGATCAATTTTCGCCGGAAATCGCTAATGTGGCGGTCCAGTTATCCTATGTGGCACATGTCAGCAATTTCTAGTAAAAATTGACCGAAATGATTACATTGAAATTTCACGCAAAAGTTTAGGACTAAATTGGTAAAGTTGGAAAGTTTAGGACTGAATTAACATCCGTATAATAGATTTAAAACTGATTGGATAATTTTCCCAAAGTTTTTCTATCAGCAGAGTTAAGATACTAACGCACATTCAAGTTTTAATTTTTGGACAACCGTGTCCTTTTCATTAGATCATGTAATTTTTCTTTCATGATTGCCAGTGTGAAAAATGTTTTGTAATGGTGCTGTTGCCACTAGTAATCCTAAATTTTTTTTTTCTTGAAATAAAGATGCTTTTCGTTCTTTTTACGCTTAGGGTGCGTTCGTTTCGCAAAAAATAAGTGATTTGGAAAACATTTTTCGAAAAATGATCACTTCTATCGTTTAGAAAAATAAATGAATTAAAAAAAATTTCATTGCCCACGAAAATAGTTTGACATATATTATTATCAATGATGAAAATATTTTCCGTTGACTATTTTTTTAAATGATGTAAGATATTATTTTTCGGAAAATATTTTCCAAATTACTCATTTTCCACAAAACGAACTCATTAATGTGAAAATATTCTACGTTAATGATGCTAATAAGTTTCTTTTTTAATCCGTTATTTCTACTTTGTCTGATTATAGTTTTTTTTTCTAATTTAGAAATCCCACTCGGTGGGCTGGCAAACAAGTCACCGGTTTCCTCGGCGATATAACATGCGGATCAGATAGCATTGTTACTCTCGTATGAGTAACAGTGTGACTAACCGTGCCGTCACACTCTCATTTTCCAAAAATTAGTTTCTCTTTCTCTGAATTTATGGGCCTTCTGTAATGGTTCATGTTTGTTTGTTTTTTTTTTCCAACTAGACTTCTAATTGTTTGTTTTGCTTAAATGGACGTCACCAATATTTATTTTTGGTTAAATTTAGATTTTTGTGATATCTATCTAGGTAAGCTACCAATCAAAAAGTTGATGAGAGAAGAATAGGGCCCTTCCATGACTACCATGGAGTTGAATAGAAATGAGGTTAAAAATAGTGTCTCAAACTTCACACCTAATCCTGGGGAAAAATACATTGAAAGTTTTAAATGTTTCACCAGTTGGTCAATTGAGTCCTAAGTGTTTAGTTTTAACTAGGAGAGTCCTAGATGTTCTTTAAACATGCATACAAATTTTTTTTTGGTCATAAAACATGCATACAATGATCGACACTTTTCTGGAGTGAAATAAGCCACATCAAACCAATGATGAGTTAAAGGAGTTCATTGCATAATATTAGAACGTTATGTCTCAATTGACAAAAGTTAAACATTTAGGACTTTCGCAGTACTTAACTCAAATCCGAAATTTTACGATTGTTTTTAAATTTTATCAACTGCTTTCAAATTTTACAGGTGAGCTGGTTTAGTTGTTAGCGAGTTATATGAAAGCATTAATGATGCTAGGAGTATTAAAAGTTTTAATTCAAATTTATGTAAAGATATAATTAGACAACATTTAATGTATAAATTATATGAGACACCCAACACTATCTTCATATAAGGGTGCGTTTATTTGAGAAAAAGTGTTTTTTCGAAATTAGTTTTCCGAACTTTCACCCGTTTAGTTTATCGAAAATGATTAGTCAACTGAAAACATTTTCTGATCAAAGAAAATATTCATGCATAAAATTAGGATAGTGAATTCCTAAATCTAAGAAAATGAAAACACTTTCTGAAATTGTTCTTCTTGAATTTTTTAATATTTCCTTTTTTCTTTTCTTTCTTCTTCAATTTTTTCATTTCCTTCTTCCTCCTGAGGGCCGACGACCGACCACAGGCACGATCCTATTCCTCGCTGGAGGCCAGCCAAGTCGACCCTCGCCCGTGGCCTGCCACAGCCGTCGGCGAGGCTCGATGACTGGCGGAGGAAGAAGAAGGATAAAAGAAAATAAAAAAAATAAAATAAAAGAAAAAAGAAAAAATTATTTACAAATTCGATTTCTTTTTGCCTGACATAAAGTCCTGAGATTGAAATTATTTTTCAAATGAGATTCAAACACCAAAAAACGTTTTCGCTTACATATCACCAAATAAAGAAAAACTAACCACTTTCCTGAATAATGATTTCTCAAAAAATATTTTCCTTTATCATGAAATTTTTCTCCGAACAAACACACCCTAAGCTTTTGTTATATTCGACCAAAAGAAAAAAAAACAGCTTTTGTTAGAAGTTTCATGCCTTATCCCAGCAACGATCTTTCTCATGCAAGAAGCCTCTATTTAAGATCGTTGTCCCACTAAACATCAACTAACTCTCCACTCCAATTCTCCACCTCCTCCTCCTCCACCACCACCATGCAATCCTCTCAACCTCCTACTCCGACCCATTTACGGTACTTGCGGGACGAGGACATGCCGCAGGCATTCAAGGACTTAATCTCCTCTCTCCCTTCAGAAAAAGACTGGATCGCCACCCCTCTCCGCTTGTACCAGGGCTTCTGGTTCCCCTCTTGGTTCCTGAATGGCGTCCTCGCTTGCCAAAACCACTTCCAAGCTCACCCCTCTGACATCCTCCTCGTCACCAGCCCGAAATGCGGCACCACCTGGCTAAAGGCCATCCTCTTCGCTCTTTTGAACCGTGCCAAGTACTCCAACTCCGACTCACAACGACGCCACCCTCTCCTAACCCAAAACTCCCACGACCTCGTGCCCTACTTGGAGCTCAAGCTCTATCTCGAGCAAGAAAATCCTGATCTCGCTGCTTTAGCGCCCCCGAGGCTCCTCGCCACCCACATGCCTTATTCCTTGCTTCCACAGTCGGTGAGGGACTCCAACTGCAAGCTGGTTTACATGTGTAGGAACGCCAAGGACACCTTCGTCTCATTGTGGCACTTCACCAACAAGCTGAAGCCCGAAGAGAAAGGTCAGATGCAGATCCAGGAGTGCCTCGACAAGTTTTGTCAAGGGCTGAGCGCTTACGGGCCTTACTGGGACCATGTGCTGGGTTACCACAAGGCGAGCTTGGAGAAGCCCGAGAAGGTGTTGTTCATGATGTACGAGGAGATGAAAGAGGATCCGCATGCTCATGTGAGGAGGTTGGCCGATTTCCTGGGGTGTCCATTCAGTGAAGAGGAACTGAGAGATGGGACGGCGGAGGGAATACTGAGGATGTGTAACTTTGACAATTTGAGCACATTGGAGGTGAATAAGTGCGGGAAGTTGTCGAGTGGAGAAGACAACAAGTGGTTCTTCAGGAAAGGCGAGGTTGGAGATTGGGTGAATTACATGAGTGCTGAGATGGGGGAGAGACTTGACAGTGTCATGGAAGAGAAGTTGCATGGTTCTGGTTTGAAGCTTTGAAGTTCGGTTAAGTAGAAAAAGTATCTGCAGGCCATTGATGAAGCTTTGTATATCTCATGCTATGGGATGAAAGGTCTTCGGTGGCATTGTCAATCGTGGCTTCGTCTCCATGGAGAGATGCTTCATGGTTGTGATTTTAGTCTTCATTGATTTGGCCAACACGTAGTTGGCTAATAAAAAGCTGCCTTCCTTCTCGCTGGGAGCTTATGGATTTTTCTTCTGTTGTTCTTTTCAGTTCCTTTTTATATTTTTGCTGTGTGAAGCTTCGGGGCATATGGTCTTCTATATGTGTTGTAGTTTAATAAACATTCTAGTTCATATTTGTATGTCGTCGGACAGATTGAGTTGCTAAACCAAGGATATTTGTGTCTTGGAGATAAAAAGAAAATTTCTCTATTTTTTCTTTTTTTTTTGCTTCAAAACGCTGAAAAGAAAAAAGTTAATGATTAAGAAGAAAGCACCCATAAAACAATTAACACACCGAGAGTAACCCCAAACGGTCTGGCTTTTGCATGCATGGTTCGGAGTAAACCTATAAAATGGGTGGGTGGGATCAGATTTGGATCAATTGAAAATGGCCCAACCTAAAATTGACTATATGGTTGCGACCTTCCTAGAGGTGAACCACTAAGGGAAAGCTAATAGATTACTAAGTAAACATGCACTTAGCGCAGACTCTCTCAAGCTCATACAAATTGCAACTTTGGAGTTTCAATTTAATCAATTATACATACAAATCAATTCATTTTGGAGTCACTACTAACCTATTACGGGTTTATTAGAATCACAAGTAAGGGTAATATTTTACTTTTGCGAACCAAAGATTTATGAATAAAGAGATTTGATTACATTAGATAAATCTAACACCCTTTCGGTAACTTTTTTTTTATTTCAAAAATGTTTTGCGAGCTGTCTTCGTCAATTTTAATCCTAAATCACTAAAATGCAATACGTGATCACGCGAGTGTACAAACAATAAAATAACGCTTAATAATCAAATGCTACAAATAAAATGCGGAAGGATTTGAAGAACCTTGATGCACTAAGCAAATCAAAAGCAAAGCTCCATTATCATCCAGTGCAAAAAGGATTCTGCAAGACGTTAACTAGAAAACAGACCATGATGTAATGTGTGCATAACCTAAGCATGAATTCTAAATACAAGCATGCAACGCTAATTAATTATTTTTTGGGTTTTCTGTTGTTAATAAATAAGCATGAGTCAAATTATATGCTACAACTATATGAGTTTTAATCTAACATGCCTTAATGAACTATATAGTATTCTAATTGAAATTAAAGCTATATTAATAATTTAAATATAACCTATATGCAATTCTAATAACATGAATTAGGATGAACCATAAATTAATCCTATTATTTAAACTACGTGAGGTATTTTTGTATTTTCCTTTTTCCATAGAAACAAAAGATTAAACTCTAGGACACTAACATGAGCTAATGACTTTTATTAAAAGGTGACCCAGCTATGCAATCTAATTATTTTTGGTATTTCCTTTCATGATTTAAAATAAGAAACCGCTTAAAATGACTTTAACCAGTTAGGAAATCGTGATTCTGAAATCTAGGGGGGAAGATGAGCATCAGTTCAAACCGGAGCGATTCTCCGAAGGCGTAGCTAAAGCTGCCAGCAACAATTCGGTGATGTTCATCCCGTTCAACTCTGGACCTCAATCTTCCGTCGGGATGAGCTTTGTGACGACCCAGGGAGAAAGAGAGATCTGCAAGTAATAAGCTTCCTAGCTATGGTGAACTTGGAGACCGGAACAAGGATTGGATTTTGTCACATGGTATCGGAGCTAACTTCTGCCCAAGTTTATTTTCCGTGTGCGTCCACTACCTTAAGTTTTTTTGTTGGATTTTCGTATCTCTCTTTTATTTATTTATTTGGGGATTCTTTTAGAAAATTTGTATGTTATTGAAAGATTTGGCTTGAGCTTGGCGACTTCGCAGATCCGATTCAGTGTTTGATGTAGTATTGGAACGAGATTATAAAAGTGGTTGCCAGATATACGATCTTTTGGGAGATCAGCGATATCCACACTGACCTAGATATGAATCGTTAAATGAATATTTCAATAGGTTGATTCGCTTAAACCATGAAAGGGTTAGGTGGGCTACCTTTCAATTATTATCTATGGACCGGCAGGAATATTGCAATATCCCATTCAAAGTTGACATGATACCTACTTGTCTAGAGATTATGATCTGCATTTCACAATACGGCAAAACATATTTCAAATGTATGTCGTGCGTCTTTGCAAGGTATTGTTCAAATAGAAAAATAAAAAAAGAATGATATAAGACAAGGTCCACGTGTTAATGTCACATGCAGAGCATCTATTCAACAAGATTTCGAGTTTCGTGGCCCTGGTTTGTATTTGAGTATTTTAACTAGCCACGCGCATCAGGCGCATCACATGTTGAATAAAGTAAAGACCACTCAATTTAGAGATGATTGAACTACATCAATGGTAGGCTGGTTTGGGTTTGGGTCAGTCACTCGTAAACACTACTTAACCATTTAACCACTTCATGTAGCTTATAAGTGCTCCACCAGCCTCCAGATACCCAAACGATTAAATTCATGCTCTTGAGTTACCCCAAAGCAAAAGGTTTATCGGTCTCTTTTTACTTTAATTGCACAAATATAAGTCTTACTTAACAATATGCGCGCGTGTGATTTTTTACTTTTTACATTGGCGGTACAGCCAACAAAAAAAAAAAAAAAACATTGGCGATATAGAAAAGTTCTTCGGGAAAATTACTCGATCGGTCCTAAACCTAATGTGTAGACTTAAATTAAATTCTAAAGTTTATAATTTTCCAATTTAGTCATAACCTTTGGACAAAATTCCATTGTAGTCTTTCTGACCAATTTTCGCGAGAAATTACTGCCGTGGCGATGTGCCACATAGGACGGTTGGCGATGACTGAACTGTCAACTTAGCGATTTCTCGCGAAAATTGACCGAAATGATTACATTGAAATTTCACGTCAAGGTTTATGACTAAACTAGTAAAATTGAAAAGTTTATTGTACAATAGATTTAGGATTGATAAACAACATATGGCGTTGTATCCTAGCACAACATGGGATTAGGCGCCTTTTAGGAGGATGGAATGAAGAACTTCAATGGATGATTAGGGCAACAAAAGGCAAAGACTTGGCAGCAAGACTCCTCAAGTTGTCCTTTCTAGCAACCATATATTTCATTTGGATGGAGCGCAACAGAAGACGGTTTCAAAACAAGTCAACTGACTTTCATATTCTTTTGGCTAAGGTTCGTAAAAATGTCAGAGGTAGAGAAAAATTAGACATTCCCATACAAATGTTGTATTAACTACTATATGGAGACTTCCTACCTCCATCTTTTTGAATTATTAGCACTTTTTGTATTGTTGGGGGATGCCCCTAAGCTGCTATACTTCATCTGGTTTATAATACTTACATTCACACCAAAAAAATAGATTTAGGATTGATAGGGTAATTTTCCCCTTAAATATTAAACCGTATTTTTTTCTAATAATTAAACTTTTAAAATAGTTGGAGGTGATCTAACAAAATTATACATATTATCAAAGCAAGGAGTCCTTAGTTAAAATATTTCCAAGCCTCTTAATTGTCTCCCTTATATTTCCACGCTTATTCTCAGGACAAAGTCTAGTCTAAGATTGAGGGGGAGTGTTAAAATTTTTAAATATAAAACAATGCATTTATATGATAACTTAAGTTTTTAATATAGTTGGCAGTAGTCTCAGAAAAGTTACAAAAGTAGTAAATTTGGACAATAAATGCATCTTCTATTATTTCACATTTCATATAAAAAAATATTTAGTTTTAATTATAAAAAATTTTGATCACTTAGTCAATAATAATGATGATTCTGAACTATCGAGTTTTAGAAGAATACTAAAAAAATATGAAGGTAGAGAAAGGAAAATTATATTTGACACTTAGGCTCCGTTCGTTTGGCGGAAAATGTTTTTCAGGAAAATATTTTCTAGATTTTCCAGTGTTCGGGGGGCGGAAAAAAATTTCTCACGGAAAATATTTTCCCTCCCATGGGCAATTTTGCCTTCACTTTGGGGGGAAATGATTTCCTCAAGAGGAAATCTGAGGAAATCATTTCGCCCCAAAGTAAAGGCAAAATTGCCCATGGGAGGGAAAATATTTTCCGTGGGAGAGGAAGTTGATCGTCGGTCAAGACCGTCGGCCGCCGGCCACGTGGTCACCTTCGCTGGCGTTCGACGGTCGCCGATCGCCGCCACCAGTCATCGGTCGCCGGTCACAGTTGATCGTCGGTCGCCGGCCGCCGCCGGTCACCGCCGCCGGTCGTCGGTCGCCGGTCACAGTTGATCGTCGGCCGCCGCCGGCCGCCGAGCTGCCGCCCGGTCACCGCCCCCCGATCGTCGGTCGCCGGTCACCGTCGGCCGTCGCCGATCGCCGGCCGTTGGTCGCCGGTCCACTTTGCCGTCCCATGGAATCCCCATTGCCATCGGTCGCCGCCGCCGGTCGTCGGTCGCCGGTCACCATTGGTTGTCGGCAGCCGCCCGGCAGTCGTCACTTGTCGATCGCCGCCGCCCGACCGCCGCCTATTGCCGATCGCCGCCCACCGCCGCCGACCGCCGCCGGTTGCCGATCGCCGCCGCCGGATCGGCGGTCGGTGAACACCAGAAAATATTTTCTGAAACTTTTTCAGATTTTAACCAAACACCAGAAAATTATGTTCCAGGAAAACATTTTTCAGGAAAATGACTTACGAAAAAATATTTTCCAAAAGGAGAATATTTTCTGCCAAACGAATAGAGCCTTGATAAAGGGTTCTCTTCTTTTCTCTCGTCTTGTCACCTTTTCTTGCTCTCTAATTTTCCCTTTGAACGTGCTTTAAACTTTTTTTATTCTTCTGCACATGGCTCACGTTTACCTTTGCTTCCCCCCATGATAAGGACGAATCATCCGGCAAAACGATGCCGAAAAGGTCAATGAAGTTTACCAACACTCAAAGCTAGAATCAAAAGTCAAACCAAAAAATTAAAAAGATAAAACCACTTGAGAGTACGAAATTCTGCAGGAACTTACTGGCATTTGGTCTCATTAGAGGAGGATCAATTAATTAACAGGTAAAATCCAGCTATGTTTTCTCGTCATCCCAGGTGCACTACACTCGAGGTCCAATCTTTTCAGAATTTGGGTCCTCTTCTCCACCATGTTTAGGTGCAAGAACCATGTAAACAAATCCATTTTAATGCAACGATTATGTTTTTTATTCTGTTCATGTCCTAGCAATTGTAGAAAAGATACA